GGGCGGCGCCCGGGTATGGGGGGGCGGGGGGGGCCCAGGGGGGCCCAGCCGGCAGCTGCAGCCGCCACCTTTTGGACCAGGCTCGCCTTCGGTCCCGGTGGCTGTCCAGGGTACTGGGAAGGGCCCCAGCCGCGTAACCCACCAAAGGTGTCACCTCAGCGTCCCCTGTAGGATCCGCCACAAACCGGGCTGCAGGTGTGCTCAAAGGCCCTTCCCTTCCCTTCCCTTCCCTTTATTAACCATGTTCTCCTTCTCGGTAGCCTGCCCCACACCCAAGTAGCATCTCTCTCCCAAATCCTCACAGGAACTAAAGGCTTCTTCAGGCCAGCCCCCAAGAGCAAGTCCTGGGCACACGTGTTGCAGGAAATAAATCCTTTCCCCACAACTTCTCAGGGTTTTCCAGCCTTCCTCCTTTGCAGTTTGTGCACTGCCTCCTCTCTCACAGGATCTAAACTAGGGGCCCCTGAGGAGGCTGGCAAAGGTGTGCAGCCCTTCTTCCTCCCCAGTTTGAGAAAGGCCTGCTATCATCTTGTGCTTGTTTCTGTGGGTAGCAGGAATATGCTGGGAATTTGGCAGTCATCAGTAAGGCTACAGGTGAAAATGCAACCTCAGGTGCCTTCAAGTTGCCTAATTGTGTAGAGGCAAGCAAGGGAAAGGAAATAACAAACTGTTAAGGAGGAAAACAAAACACCTTGCAAATATGTATCTAGTGTATTAATCTGGTTCACTGTGAAACCTCTTACACCCCCAGTCTTAATCTAGAAAGTAATTAGGAATTTACATTGCCTGGAGGTACTTTCTAGGAAACAAGCTGCTAGAGTGAGGGAATTTAAAAGGTCTATCAGAGCTTAGACTCTTACTAGTGACTGGTTTTAAAGAAGCAGCTCCTTGAAATGGGAATCTTGATCCTACCTGAACTCAGTTCTCACTTCCACGTGCAGTCTGAATGCCTTCAGTAAAGTTGTGGTGAGTGCAGCAGAAAAAGACCTATGATTTGTTCTCCTTTCCTATTGGCAATTCAGCACCACTGCAGCGTTTCAGCTGTGAAGTATCAACCATGTATGTTTGGAGACGGTGCCTCCTCTGAGAATGGTTCTGTAACTGCAGTATTAAAACACAGGGCTTGTCATGAATCTGAGGGAGGAAAAAAAACCCCAGAAAATCCTCTTGGGTTTTTTTAATGCTCATTAGACAAAAAAGATCAAGTTTTTAGAAAATACAGCTCACAGAGAAGGAATGCTCGTCTATTTGAAATTTCCCATAAGTTTTCTCTACTTTTTCAACTTGGTTATATGATCTCTCTCTGTAGAAAGTCCTCAAGGGCTAGGTTTCAAAATTATTTTTATATAGAAATTGTACCTAGAGCACTTGCAATTTGTGAGGCCATGTTAAGTGATTCATGGCTGATCCTTAGAGGCATATTGGCTGTAGAGCAGGTTCAATTAAAAGTTTCATTAAATGCTTGAATGGTGATCTACAAGTAATGTTGAGGGTTGATGATGCTCTGTGATTAATTTTTTATACTCTTGTTCAATTTTTTTTCTGTTACTGTAGAGTGTCTATCAAGTCTTCTGGACATCTGAGATATTTTAAAAGACACTAGTGTCATTATGGAGAGGAGAGGGAGAGAGAGAGAAAGAGAAAGGAGGTTGCTCTGATGCATGTAGCACATCCCATGAATAAGCAAGGCTTGTGCCTCTGATTCTCCGTTGCTTTGCACCTTGAATAATTATTGACATTTTTGTAAAAAGGTTGCGAAATGATATCGTATCACCAGGGCAATTGCAGGTCGAAGCAACACATGATTACTGCTGTAGGTTCCACCACTGAGGTTATCTTTTCTCCTGATAACTTCATCTCAGTTTAACTGTCATAGATTTTCTCCAGCGAGAGGCATCAAACAGGTTTGGTTTCTAAGATACCAAAAGATACATCTTCAAATCAACATTTTACTGTTCGTGCACAAAAAGCTGCACAAATGAAATTAGTCTTGTGTGAAAATAGCTCTAGCTGTGATTTCTGGGCAAACTGTAGTTTCCCACCTTTGTATTAACAGGCTCTTAAAATAAAAATAATCCACCTGTGAGGGAAAGAAGTTGCAACTCTTGGTCCAGTACTGTGTTTTTAAAAAAATGTTATTAAAACTGCAGGGAAATTCAGATTAATTTATGAAATTTATTTGTGTGCTTGTGATAGTTCATCTTAAATTCAAGGAGCGAGCTCTTAATTCTAAGCCTTGTAATATATTAAACTGAAATTCAGGCACTGAGAATATAATAATTTATTAATAGGATAAAATGATCAGGAAGTATTAAAAGATCTGAATTTTTAATACTCTTATTAGCCTTTGTGCAAGAGATGAATCAGTTGTCTTGATGTATTAATAAAATAATACTGCAGATGTTCACTCTTCGTAAGAATGTGTTGTAAACTAACTGGTCAGGATAGGTTGGTTAAAATAGAGGATATAAAATACTACTCTGATAGCTGTATTAACTCCCAGAGTATATTTTTTTGAGAGACTGGCAGAAGACAATTTCTAAATTCTCAGTGATGACCTATCCACAGATACTCAACAACTGTTAATGGTAACATCCTGTTGCAAAAACAGCCTCAGGCTGGGTAGTTGCAAAGCCGAGGGAGATATTTAAAACTTGTTCCAATGAGTGTGGAGATTTACCCAGAATGTAAATTCAGATTTTAGTTATATAAAATAACATCTATTTGTTTGATTTGTTATTGCAGTTCTAGAAAGGTTGAAGAGGATGAATATGAAGATGGAACAACTAACCAAAAATGGGTTTTAGCTCCAAAAACACAAGACACAGATGTGACTCTCATACTAAACAAGCTGTTGAGAGAGTATGACAAAAAGCTACGCCCAGATATTGGAAGTAAGTATTCCTTTCTGCACAGGTGAGGAAAAGCATCTATGGGTGCAGAAAAGATGTCATATTATGTTTTGGTTAATGTGCACTAATGTCCGTGAAAGTGGACATTAAGTTTTTTAGGCTGAAGTTCATTTCCAAGTCAATATTTAAAAAATGCTGATTCTCACTAGAAGATGTGGTGGTAACTTAGCGTGCTGAACTCCGGTTTGATTGTACAGAGCTTGTGTAGAGATACAGAAGGGCTGGCTCTGAAGTATTCAGTAGGTCTTTGGCAGAGTTCGGAACATACTTCTCTCTTTTGTCATCCAATCCATGCATATGAAAAACTTATGCCCTGAGGAGCAATCAAAAACTCAGCATATTAAAAACAAAAAGTAGGACACGGCAAGAGAAGAATGTGCATCTACTCCTTTCAAAATGTGATCACGAAAGTTATGTTCCTTAATGCTGAGAAGAAGGCACTAGGATTTGCCTGTGTATAGGGCAACTCCAGAGATTTTCTTCCCCGAATGAGCAGATCTTATCTTCAAAAGAAATCTGATAGAATGGAAGTGTCTTGTGAGCAGTACTACTACATATAGGTATAAAATTTACATAAGAGCCAGTAGATACCTGCATATAACCATTTTGAGCTATTTTCTTTTCTTTTTTTTTTTTTTTTTTTAATTTGTATAATGAGGTTGTGTGTTTCAAACTGGTATTTTGTTTACCTTTTGTGGTTATGCCCTTTTTGCCTTGTTTGCATCCTTAGATCAGAATGGCTATAGCACAACTGCTGTTCAATTTCTTCACAGCAAGTTTGTATGACAGAAATCAGAGACAATTTGTCATTTACATTTACTGCACCTTGTATGTACTTCAGAATGAACCGGGAACAGGGAAAGCTCAAAACAACCACCTAATATAATTTGCTTTTCCTAAATTTTTGCAGAGTTTAGAGGGAGAATTCCTACCACTGATTATAAGTGAAAAGAAAGTGTTGGTTTTTTTTTTTTCATAGCTATTACTTAGATTTTTCCATAGTATTTACAAAGATCATATTTGATAGATGTGTCTGTTTTTAACACAGAGTGACATTTATCTCTCTCTCTCTCTCTACTTAGTTTGTCATACTGGATTTAGCTGATCTTTAATATCTGACGGAGAAGTGCTTTAATGCAGTTCCCCATCCATATCAACAACTGGAAGACATTCTCAGACAAATTTTTTATTTTACTTTGTACACCGTTTCTTCAGATCACTGACTTCAGGCAGAGTAAATTATATTATGCCTATGTGGGGCAAAGTAATCATTCAAAGTCCCCACGTCAGTTGCCATAAAATCAGTAGAGGCCAGACATATCTTACAGCACTGGAAAATCATCGTTACCAAAATAATTCCTTTTGTCTCTCCACAAACTTTCATAAATCCTGTTTTAGAGAAAGGAGTTAAATTACACAGCTCCTCATATATTAGTACCAAACAGAGATTTTGCAGTTCTCAACTACATCTATCTGTTTCTATCAAGCATCTCAGTCCTAGGCCATTTTTCTCTTTGATAGGAATCTGGCTATTTCAGAACTTGAGCTGAGTGTTGTTCAGATGCTAGAGAAGTTAGTTCACCTCTGCTTCGTTCGCTGGTCCCTCTTCCCTCCTCTCCTACCTTTGATGGAGATAAATAACATTGCCCTTTTGAAGCTGAGGAGCTGCTGCATTTGTCAAGGAGGACACGAGGGGAATGTTAGAGAATCAGGCATTATATCTAACTCCCCTGAATTGCTGGCTGCTTCCTCACACACAAGCACATCTTCCTTTCCGTCTGAGAGAAGGTTATCCTCCAAACTAGATGGTTGACTTGTCCTGGCAACTGAACTGTGTTCCTGCCCTGAATGTCCCAGCATTAATACAAATCAGTTAAAAGCATAATACACATCAGTTAAAGCACTAGGAAAAAAAAGCAGTGGACCATTTATAGAAAGCATAGAATAAATCAGTGGAGAAAGAGAGAAGTAATTCTCAGAATCAAGCAGAAGTGCGGTCAATAAAAAACCTTGAGGGTTAAATCCAGGAGTAACATGCAATCAGCTACTTATTAGGACCTTTACATTTGTGCAGTGCTGGCTGTAAGCAAATTGGCTGTCCCCCAGGACAGGGGACACTCACCGTTTCATGCCACTCAGGTTTCCAATCCTTTATTGCAAAGCCACTATTTCTAACAAAGGATAACTTTAGCATTGCTCCTGAAGAAACGATCTTCTCTCTCAATGCAGTCAGAAAAGCCTAGGAAAATACTAATTTCTTTGCACTTTCAAAGGTTAGGATTGCAATTTTTTGATCACTTGGGAACACACTTTTGCAAGCCAAAGGCCGCGGGGAGAAGATGACTGTGGCAAATAGAAGGTATTGAAGTGCATGCTGGCCCAGGCAGTGACTTTTCTGTGGTCTTTCATCCTTCCCAGTACAACCGATGTTTTGGCTAGCTCAGGTATGTCCAGGTGCTACCTGGCACTGTACAGGCATATTCTGAGTGCCCACTTGCCATACTATGGGCAAGGTGCATCAGTAATCATGTTACCTCCAGGCCAGGAGTATATCCATCAGTGAATGATACTCCAGTGAACAGACACTCAGCCACCCTCCTTCCTCCTCCCCCGCCCAGCCTCTCTAAACCACTGTAAAGAGCGTGTATGTCAATGCTAAGGTGCAAAGCAAGGACTTGCTCTTTCCTTTCTTTTTTTTCTTATGCGGGCCTTTACTTGGCCTAGGCTTTCATGTAAATGACTGTTGGTCAGATCACATGCTCAATCTACACTCAGCAGCACAGGCATTACCTGCAAGGTTCCAAGCCAGGATTTTGAAAGAGTAGATTGAACAACCTATGTATTAGGCAAAATCGTTACCCTGTGAAGGCTATCAGCAACCTGACACCTTAACAGGACCTGTCTAGCTAAAAGGGGCCTTTGGTCTTTGGAAACAAAACAGTGTTCTACCAGCAGGGGAATGTCTGACTGCATCCCCAGTGGCCACACACTTGGCAGAGTTCTTGTCTCATAAATATCACAGCTTGTGAAGGTTTTCATTTTAATGGTAGCATCTGGCAGTTTTCCATTATACCATAGAACATACACTCCTTTTGGAATTAAAAAAAAAAAAAAAAAAAAAGCACCTCACACTGAACAGCTAATACCAGTGTACTGATTAGATGAAAAAGAAAAGTGTTTTATGGAGACAAAGCATCTTTTCCACTCACTTTTTACCAGATACAATTATAGGGCTGAGAATTGTGGGTCTGTTGTGTGGTATAAACAAGGTTTAACAAGGCTCAGGGCCGGGTCCTGCACTTCGGTCATAACAACCCCGTGCAACACTACAGGCTTGGAGAGGAGTGGCTGGAGAGCTGCCTGGCAGAAAAGGACCTGGGGGTGTTGGTTGACAGCCGCCTGAACATGAGCCAGCA